ATTATGAAAAAGTTGATACGGATTATACGTTGAAGCACAATGATCTTTTAGCCAACATAGTTCATAGGTGAGAAAAACGTTAAATCATTTATCTATCTATAATAATAATGATAATGATGATAATGTTTTTATTATATATATTATTATTATCTCGCGTTTATAAAGAATTATCCTTTTGTGCCTCTCTTTTTATACATCAACATCGTTTCACATTCACATCTGATTTGGTAAAAAAAAAAAAATTTTTTTAATTTCATGTTAACTAACATTTTTGTTTTAATGTTCATAATCGATGACGTCATTGTTATCACGTGATATATGACGTCTTCAAACGATGCGGCAAAATCATACGTCATTTAAAATCTGTAAAAAGAAAAAAATAATAATAAATCATCGTTAAATATTATTTAATGAATTTTTTTTTCTGTTATTTTAAAAAAATGATATTTTCATTCATCATTCACAAGTTTTTCTTGTTTTTTTTTCTGCTTCCCCGACATTTTCTTTTTTTTTTCAATGATTATTATTATTAATGTAAATAATGTTATTTAATTGTTGGAAACGTAACAAGTTTTAATATTAACAAAATGTCAAAAAAAAAAAATTTTTTAAAAGATTAATTAATAATTTAAAAAGTCGTGTCATTAGCACAAACGTGTTTACATGTTAACAACTTATCGATAAATTAATAATTAATTAAAGAAAAAAAGGATCGTTTGTAAATTTGATAAAATATCAAACAGCAGAAAAAATAAAAATAAAATTTTCTTATGCTTTTAAAAAAAATAAATGAATGAAATTTTATCGTTGCCGGCCATGTTTTCTCTCTCTCTCTCTTTAATTCGCATATTTATTAAAAAAGGAAAAGAAAAAAAACGAACCTTTTTCTCTTATTCGATTATTAAAATATCGTTAAAGACAGCAACATTGAATGTATTACATTAAAAAAAAGGTTTATCGTTTGATTTTTCTTTTTTTTTTTTTATTAATAATAATAATAATAATATTAACTTTATATATAAGAGGTTTATTAAAAGTAATCATATTCTCCTCCCAATGACAGAGAGGATGAGGGAAAAAAAAAGTTTCGAAAAGTTTAGCATGGTTGTTACATAACTTATCGAATTATTTTATATTTATAATAATAATAATTATTATTATTTGCTAATAAAAGGTTTATGTAAATGTTTCAGGCATGAAGTCCCGGTTACTTCTGATCCGATCACGATTGTGCACGTGGACGAGGACGTGGTGGTAGTGAACAAACCTGCCTCGATCCCTGTAAGTGGCATTAAGACTGCCGACGAAGAAAATTACTTTACCGGACAATCGATATACAAAAAATCCAATTTTAAAAAAAAATTTACTTATTTATTTATTTATTAATTTAATAGTTATTAACTTATTAACCTATTCGTATATAATTTTCTAACGATAAATAACCGATATATTACGTATTGATGACGTAATAAAATTTTTTTAAAAATCTAATCACGAATAAGGGAAAATTTCAAAGAAAAATGGGGAAATTTTTTTCTTTTTTATTCTTTATTTCCGGTTTCGTTTTGCTTGTTACCTCTTTCTCTCTCTCTCACTAACTCTCTCTTTCTCTATCTCTCACTCTCTCTCTCTCTGTTTTTCCAATTCAACTTTCGAAAAATAAAAAAATAAAAAATTGTTTTTATCGACTGCATAATTTTTTCATATTTTATTTATTATCATTATTATTATTTTTTTAATAATTTCGTTTAAAAAAAAAAAAGGTGGAAGGGGGAGGGAGGAAATTAGGAAATCGAACATAAACCGGAAGTAAAATAAAAATCTTTCCTGACAGGTGAGAACATGATGTCGTAGAAAAAAAAAATACATAAAAGTTGACGTAAAAGAAAAAAAAATTTTTTCCTCTTTCTCTTTCTCTCTCCCTCTCCCTTTCTCTCTCTCTCTCTCTCTCTCTCTCTCTCTTTGCCCTTTTTTTTATGCCTTAAGGTAAACTTTTGAAACTTTTCATAAATTTTAGGAATAAAATGTGTTAATAAAATTTTAAAAAAGAAAGAAAGAAAGAGAGAGTGAAAATAAGAGAGTGAGTGAGTGAGTGAGTAAAAAACAAACTTTTGAAAATTTTTTTTTTTTTCCCCCGCCAACGTCACTAACAAAAGTAAAAAAAAAAAAAAAAAAAAAAAAAAAAAATAATAATAATAATAATAATAATAATAATAATAATTTTTGTGTGATGCTTACTAACTTTAACGCTTCACTATAATTATCACGAATTTCATTTGTTTTTTTTTTTTTTTCTATCATAAACGCAAATTCTAGTATTTATCGTTTCCCTTTCCCCCTCCCTCCCCCGCTGAAAAAATAAATATTCCCACGCTTCCCTTTTTCCCCAACCCCTCCCTCCTCTTTTACCTTTTCTCTTTTTTTTCAAACTCTTTCGATATCGATGTATATAGTTTAAGTAAAAAAAAATTAAATTTTTTTTTTTTTTTCTTAATCGATGTTATTATTATTATTATGATTATGATTTATTTGAACTTATTGGTCGGTTGGTTGATGTTGCATTACAGACATGAGACTCCGGTTCTTGCTAAACCGATCCGAGTAATTCATGTCGATAAAGACATTGTGGTTTTGGACAAACCGGGTTCACTTCCGGTAAGTGACCGTACTACTACAAAATTATTATTATTATTACTACCTATTATTATCATTCTTTCTTTTCTTTTTTTTAAATTATTTTATTTTATTGGCTAATTTACGATTTCGGCCGATTTTTCGGCCGGAGTGCAATAAATGAGACCGTCGCACGTGTATATAAAATAATAATAATAATAATGATTATTATTATTATTATTATTATTATTATTATTATTATTGTTATTATATTTGTTGTTTTATTAACTTGAATTTTATTAATTTTTTTTTTTTTATTAACCAAAATTTTCGTAAAACTTACGAATTGAGTTTGTTTTTTTTTTTTTTTGAATTTTTTTTTTTTTTAATGGGAATAATATTATTATTATTATTTATTAATTATGTATTATATTGATTACGTATTTATGTATTTCGTTTTTTAAAAAAAATTTTTTTTTTCAAAAAAATATTAATAAAATTTTATTTAAAATAATATAAAAATTAAATAGAATACGTAATAATATAAAATTAAATCGTACGTAAACCGCAAAAAAAATAAAAATAAATAAATAAGTTTTTATTTTATTTTTTATCTTATTTATTAAAATTTCAGGTTTATCATTTATTAGAATCTATTAATTTATTAATTACTATATTTATATATATACTATTACGCATTTATTAATATGAAAAACAACCAACCGACCAAACAACAACAAGTTTTTTTTTTAAATTTTTTTAATCGACAGAAAATTATTATTTTATTTAAATAAATAAATAAAATGACGTAATAAAAGAAAAAAATAATGATCGAATGATTATAAATAAATAAATAAAAAATCTTATTCGCTTCTTTTTTTTTCTTTCATCAACGTCGATCAGGTTCATCCATGCGGAAGGTACCGTCACAACACAGTGGTATTCATATTGGCTAAAGAATATAATTTGAAAAACTTAAGGACGATACACAGATTAGATCGACTCACTAGTGGCCTATTACTATTTGGTAGAAGCCCTAAAAAAGCAAGACAAATGGAACATCAAATAAGAAATCGTCTCGTACAAAAAGAATATGTTTGTAGAGTCGAAGGAGAATTTCCAAGGTTTGATTACCTCTTTTTTTTTCTGTTTACGAATGGGGGTAGGGGAAATTTTCTATCATTATTAATATTGATTGATTTCAGCGGACAAATTGAATGCAGCGAACCAATAGAAGTAGTTAGCTACAAAATAGGAGTATGTAAGGTATCTAGCAAAGGTAAATCCTGCAGTACGACGTTTGAAAAATTAGGTTACAGTTCTTCTACCAATACCAGTATTGTTTTATGTAAACCTCACACGGGAAGAATGCATCAAATCAGGGTCCATTTGCAATATTTAGGTACGTTTTAACGGATTTAAAATGTTAGCGGGTTGTGTTGTGCGATATTTAATATTTGCCCCTTTCTTCTTTTAGGTTATCCTGTTGTCAATGACCCATTGTATAATCACACCGTATTCGGTCCCGAAAAGGGTAAAGGTGGAAACATTGGTAAAAATGACGAAGAACTCATACACGATTTAATAAATATTCACAATGCTGAAAATTGGTTGGGTATGGAAGGTGATTCGGAATTGAGTATGTTTAAAACAAGATCTGATTTGGATGAAAGTTTAAATTCAATAAATAGAAAAGGTAAAAAGAAAAAATGGAGAAGACGATCGAGTAACAAGTGAAAGAAATTTATTGATTCATGAATTTCAGGTTCTTCATCTCCTGTCGATGATGAAAATGATGGAAGTAGAGAACCATCTCCATGCGGTGGTGAAAATTCACCATCCCGATGCAGTATCGGTTCGCCGGTGAGTTTAGCTCAAGGTTCGCCATCAACACCAAGCGGCGGTGCAGTTGTGAGAGTTAGTAAAGTAACAGTAGCCACGCAAACCGGTCATGAAGCTCCCGATTTAACTTTTCAATCAGAAAAAATGACGACGGATCAACATTGTTATGAATGCAAAGTCAGATATAGAGATCCGAAACCGAAAGATCTTGTCATGTATCTTCACGCATGGAAATACCGGGTGAGAGAGAATAAGTTTTCATAACACGCACCACCTAGAAAATAAAAAAATAAATGAATGAAAATGATGGACGCAAACAGTTGTTATTAATTAATTTAATAAATTTATGCCAAAAAATTTAGCAAACGGCCCCGACCTAAATTTAAAAAAATTTTGTGACCCCATAAATTATTTAAATGGGCCGAAAAATTTTTTAAAAAAAAAAAAGAAAATTTCCCAAGAAAATAAAAAATTTTTTTTGTTTTTTCCAGGGTCCCGGTTGGGAATATGAAACGGAATTACCGGATTGGGCAAAAATCGATTGGGTAGAACCCGAAGAATAGTGATCGATACCCGAAACAAAAAATATATTTAAAGGAACAAACATCAAGTTTTATTATACCACGTGACTTTATTATTATTTTTTTTTTACATGCGAAAATAATAATAATAATGATAGTAATAACAACACGACGATTGATGAAGTGATTTCTCTCTTTCTCTCTCTCTCTCTCTTTCTCATGTTTAATTTAAACGCAATAAAATCCCCGTTAATAATTTGTTTTTTATGTTTAACTTACGTACTCACGCACTCACGCAATAATTTAAATTTTCTTTTCATTTATTATTTAGATTTTTAAAAGGGGGTCTTACAGAGAGTAATGAAAATATGAAAAATATGACGACGAATATTTTTTTCTTTTCCGACCCCAAATCATAAACCGTACGATTTATGTTTCTTATTTATGTTTTTTTATGTTTTTACGTAATTAACAAAACACTATTATAACAACAACAACGCATGCAAAAAAAACACGTTCAAACAATGGCAGAACATTTAAATAGAAAAAAAAAAAGGTTTTAATTTTTTTTTTTTTTTAGAAAACAGTCTTGCCACCTTCATCGTGTGTAAATTTCTCAACAAAAATTAATTTAATTTTTTTTTTTCAATACAATCAATAAATCAATAAATCAATCAATTTTTATTAATAATAATAATGATGAAAAAATGTCGGAAACCGTTAAAATTTATTCTTACACGTTTATGTGAATAAATATATTTTTTTTAAAATTAATTTTTCACTCTGCGTTTGTTTTATCAGGTCAAACAATAACAAAGTTTTGATAACGATAATAATAATGATGTTACGTACATATTACATAAAAATAAATATTAAAAGGAAAACAAACGGGGAGGATTTATTATTATTATTATCGTTTTTTGAGAATTCACTTCAAACAACAAGAAATTTGTCGATTGTTTTTGGTTTTTTTGTTTGTTGTTGTTGTTGTTGTGTTGTTTAAAAGAATCTTTTTAAAAATAATAAATAAATAAATTTTCAAATTTTTGTACTCAACTATAAATAAATTGTTTATAACCGGAAATGGTTAGAAAAAGAGAAAAAGGATTAAATTGTCGTCGTCGATAGGAATGAATGGGTTCGCTATTAAAAAAAAAAAATTTTCATCAGTTTATTTATTTATTTAAATTTTATTTTTTCATTGTTCGATTTTGTTGACGGCAGCCATTTTTTTTGTTAATATATAAGCCTTCTTTCACCGGAAATAAAAATTTTAAATACATTTTTTTTTTACGCATATATAAATAAATATAAATAAATAAATTTTACTTGTCTTCCAATTTTAAAAAACAAAAAAATAACACTTAATTAATAAATAAATAAAAATTATGGCGGGAAAATTTAAATTTATTTTAAATTACAGAGACGATGAAAAAATATTAATAATAATAATAATAATAAAATTTGTTATTTAATTAAATAGAAAAGAAAAAAAAGAGAGATTTATTATTTAATAAAATTTATGTGAATATATATAGCGGAGTACAATATTTGAAATTATTATATAAGATTATTGAAATAATAATAATAATAATGTTATTATTAATGATAATGATAATAAAATTAAGGTAATTGTGAGAATAAATGTTGTTATTAAAAAAAAAATATATATATATATGAGCGAAACGGTTAAATTAAAATAAGTTAAAAATGTTACCGGGTTAATTTTTCCGTGCTTCGTTTTTTTTTTTTTAACTCTCTCTCTCTCTCTTTCTCTCTCACTCTCTCTCACTTAAAATTACGGTAATAAAATTTTACGTTTAGTTTTTTTTTTTAATTAAAAAATAAAATGGGGAGGAAGAAGAAGAAGAAAAAAATAAATTAAGCCATTTTTTTAGGTACTTAGATATAAAAAAAAAAAATTTTATTTTTTAATTTGCCTCTCTCTCTCTTTCTTTCTCTCTCTCTTTTGTTGTCGTGTGTGATAATAAATTTAAAAAGACATAAATTAATAATGATAATAAATAAATATATATTTAAGGCTTTTGCATGAATATAAATAAAATATAAAATAAAAAAAAAAATTATTATTATTGAAATCGTTTAGGATTGGCGTATATAAATAGAGGTTCCTCATTTTTTTTTTTTTTTATGTTTAGTTTCGAGTACTCTCCCAACACAAACGAGTACTCGAAATTTATTATTTTATTTACTATAATTATTATTATTATTTTTTTTGCATTAGTTATTAATTTAGTTAATTTTTTCCTATTGTTATTATCGTCATTTTTTTTTTTTTGGTTTTTGTACATTTAAAACAAACAAAAAAAAAAAAAAAAAAACAAAATAATAATTTTTAATGAGCTTTTCTATAATTGTATGTAAATAAATTATATAAAAAGAAAAAAATTAAGAGACGATGATGATGATGATGATGTATGTTCGTCTTATCGGTACAGTCGCTTATTATTTTTTCATTTTTGATTTTATTTTACATTTGCCATCAAATACTTTTTATTTAATTGCTCCGTGCTCTATCATGTTTTTTTTTTTTTGTGTAAAAAATAAAGTAATAAAAAATTGTGAATAAATAAATATATGTACATGAGGTGGCATGAAATTTAAATTTTTGATTTTTGTTTTCCACGTAAACCGACATTGAATGTAAAAAATAAATAATATGTCGTATAATTATTGTTCGATAAAATTAATAACAAAAAAATAATCATTTTTGAAAAGATTCATGTTTTTTTTAATAACATATCAATGATGACAAGTTTTTACGTTTGAATTTTATTAATAAAAAAAAAATTTTTTTCGATTGTTATTTAGTGGTTATGGAATTCGTCAAATTTAATTGTACAAGTAAAAGCGTACATTTTTTTCGAATTTTTTTTTTTTGCTTTTTAAATTTCTTTTTTAATTTTAATAATTTTTGTAATTATCTATTTTACGAATGTTAATAAATAATTAAATAGTGTAAAATTTGATTTTCACACGTTAATAAATAATTCAATGTCGGTTCTTAAAATACTTTAATTATATATTTTTTTCATGTAAAAAAATATAAACTTTATTTTAAAAAAATATTATTATTATTTTAATTTATGTGTAGAATAAATAATTTAAAAATAAATTTTTTTAAAATAAATATTATCAAATCGTTAAAATGATACGATTTAAAAAAAAAAAAAAAAAAACAATTTTTATTTATTTATTGTTTCTTTAATTTTACTCTTTACCTCCTTGTATAGGAGGTAAAATATTGCGATATTTTTACAGTAAAATTATGATTTAAGGTGGGAATCCACTGTTTACATTTTATTTTACTCTTTACCTCCTTGTATCTTATGTTTGTCTGATACATTTGAACATTTTTTGTCATTAAAAGTTATAAAAATACTCCATTTTTTGTTCGTTGACTTGTTACTCCAACGACATGTTGCTCCTCGCGACCAGTTGCGGATGGGCGGAGATCCGCGACCCCGCGGAAACGGAACTTCACGCGAAGGTGGAGGCCATCCGGAGCATCGGACTCTGAGTGTCTCTGCCGAAAACGGAAGTGTGCGGGTTTCATCGTCCGCGAAACCCGCAATGGAGAGACTTGCCCTCTATAGCGAACGGGGTGGCGGCGGGCCGAGGAGACCCCGATTCCGCAGGGAACTTCGCGATCGCACGGTCCGAACCTCGCAGGCACGCTTCGACGACGGGAGAAAACGGTACGGCGGCGAAATAGTCGTCGCCCCGGGCCCTTGAGTGGGGGACTGAATGGGGCGGGGCCACGGCGGGCTCCTGTGATCCAGCTTCTAGGAGGCAAAGCGCAGTGGATGCTTGCAGACCTGCGCTAAGTTCGGTGATCGCCAAGGGGACGGGGAATTAATCATCTACTTACAGGTGCGTGTCTTCGATCTCTCACCAGCGAACGAGCAGAAAGGCGACGGCGGGATCGGGTGGGAGTGGCGAACCCTTCGATGTCGACCCTTCCGGAAACCCGCAAATTCTTGCAACTGAGGCGCGAGCGATGTGGCAGGTCGTCCCATCTCACTCAGAGCGACGCCGAAAGAAGAAGATTCGAGAGGAAGGTCGAGGGAGCGCAGGAGCTTTGCTTCAGGTGCGAAGCGGCAGGGCATCGGGCGTGCGACTGCGCGAACTCCATTCTTTGCGCCGCGTGCGCGGAGGCCGGCCGTCCGGCTAACCACCGATCGGGGATCGGTCCTACGTACTCGGCACCTTTGGTGAGAGACAAAGTCGTCCGTTGGGGTGCTCGAACAGGGGGGGTGCGACGTGGGGAGCTTCTCCATGTGAGCCGAGAACGAACGGCTTTGCCCAGAGTTCAAAGTAAACATGGGGAAGTTTTTTTAAGTCAATTTTAATCACTGCAGGGGTGCGCAGGACCTACTGCTCAATCAGATGGGCACGTGGGGGGTCGACGTCGTCATGATTTCGAAACCCTACGTCGTTCCAAAAAGGGGGGAAAGCTGCAACGGTTCTTGGTTCGGATCCGAGGACGGCGCGGCCGCGATATTATTCTCGAGCCGTGTCGGGACGCCGAGGCCTCGAGAGCTGTCCCGGGGGGAGGGTTTCGTTCTGGTCGGATGGGGAAACGCGGTTCTGGTGTCCGTTTACGCGTCGCCGAATCGTCCCGTCAGCCAGTTCGAGAATCCCTTGCACGCGCTCGCGAGGGAGATCGATCGCTCGGGGAAGTCCCGTCCCACATTCGTCTGCGGCGACTTCAACGCGAAACACGTTTCGTGGTCGGGATACGCAAACAACGCGCGCGGCCGACTCCTCAAGAAGTGGTTAGATTTACGTCATTTCGCCGTGCGTAACGAAAGGGAGGCGAAAACTTGCGTGCCGGCCACCGTCGAGTCCGCGATCAATCTCACGGTTTCTTCCGTCGCGGCCGCGGCGTGGGTTTCCGGCTGGGAGGTCCTTTCCGATTTCCATTTTCTGAGCGAACACGCCCACTTGGCGTTCTCACTCGGGGCTCCTGGAAGCTCGGGGAGACTGCATCTCGGTCCAGCGGGCCTCGCGTCGTCGTT